GGGGGGGCGGATTTTGCATTGAAAATAGAGTCTGCTTTTATTCTTGCAAACAAAATGCATTGAATGTGGTTTTTCAGCACAACTGGCCATTTCAAGACACAGCTTGGGACTGTTGTTTATTTTTCCAAAGTAGTTGGCATTTTATATGTGAACCAATTCGTGTATTGAAAAGCCTGTGTTTTTCTCTCCCCTGCAGAATGGAAATAGGTTTTACTACAGAAGGTGGGCTGGTGTTCTGAAGTGTTCCTTAAGACACAATCAACATTCTAACACTCGGCTATATCGGGTTTTAAGGAGAATAATGAATAACTGGCTGTAAAAAGTCTCTCTGCGGTGACACTCAGCAAACCAAGGGGTCCAGTCCAAAGAACATTTTTGTACAAAATTTGGGGTGGGGGAACTTGGCTGCTTTTTATTTTTAATCAAAGAAGTGCTCAACATGGAAGCACTTTCTTGTTTTACTGCGTGGCTTGGGATTTATTGTTTGCTTTGACTTAATAATCAGCAAGAGATCAGTCTATGGTGCAAGTTCAATGATTTGAAAAAATATTAACATCTAAAAGTCAAGTGCCACACACAGACAATTTTATGTATTCGGTTTCTACTGCATTGTCTTCTGTGCAATGGAAAGGAGTGATTCTCAGGCACATAAGGCACTGTGGACAATATGGCCCATGAGCATTAACCAGTCGAGCTGTTGCAGTGTAGAGAGATTTTATGCTTTTTTAAAGAAAAACTTTCTTGTACTTCTTAAAGTAGTTTTTAAAAATAAATAAATAAATAATGAGGTTGTAAAAGAACCCAGCAAAGACTTAAATGTTGGACTGAAGTCCTTGTCTTTTTATAAATTGTTCATACATTTCTAGTGAGTTTTAGTGCACGTACATGACAATCTGACAGAGCCATACTTAGGTCAGGACAGGTCCAATGCTAACACAGCCCATCTGAAAGCTTGATCCAAAGCTTAGTGAAGATAGAGTGTCTTTCTGTTCTGACTGACTCTGGATCAGCCTCTGACTGCCCAAGCCTGCAACTGAGTGTGGCTAGACCATTGTGCTTATGTGGAGATCCACTGAGTCACTGGGATTCCATATGGGTGGATGGGGAAGGCTAATGTGTTGCTTCCCTGCAACACCTACCCTCAGATATTGCATGCTTAACACACTCTGCCCTGTCTTTTTGTGTCACACGGGTGGCAGCAGTCAGCATTAACTCTGTATTTTGGGGTTTGTTTCTGGCCCAGTCTTAGCAAACTATACACTTGAAGCTTGTGCATTTGTATTCCATGGATTCCTAAGAATATGCCCTGTTCATTCAGATGGTCAATTGCCAAATGTAAACCTCAGTCATTTACTCTGGTCTTCTGATGTGTGACGGAGGATTCAGTAACACCCCCACCAGAGAGAGAAACCTGGAGATAAGACAGATGGCTGAAGAGGAATACCTGGGACTCCATCCAGTGCTGATTTAAGGCAATCATGGCCTTTCCACTGGACTTCTATGGCTTTGGAGCAGGCAGTTGCTGAACCCAGCAATCCTGTGCAACACTAAATCCAGGGCCAGATTAACATTTTGTGGGCCCCCATGGGGGCAAAGGAGCATGGCGTGGGGAGGTCAGTCCCCAGAGCAAGGGGCCAGCCAGGGGCAATGGGGCATAGCATGGTGGGGCCGGCCCCACTC